TTTTTAGTGTCCATTTGATCAGGAGCTGTGACCAGTCTTGGCTGCCTGAAGAGCATACCTGTATATACCGTGTTTTCTAATGATATCTGGCACATACATCATGTTTTCTAAAGATATAGAATCATATTATCACACAGCTGGAAGGGACCTCCAGGGTCATCTAGTCCAACCCTCTGCACAATGCAGGGAATTCACAAATACCTCCCTTCACACACACCCAGAGACCCCTGCTCTACACCCAGAAGAAGGCAAAAAACAACAACCCCAAAACCTTCCAGGATCCCTGGCCAAACTGACTGGAGAACAATTACTTTCATACCCCAAAGTGGCGACCAGCATTTCCCTGGGCATGTAAGAAAGGGCCATGAGAACTAAGCACTGAGGCAACCCTTCCTGCCCTCCCTCTCATGATCTGCCTAAGTTCACAGGACCAGCATTGCTGTCAGATGGCCATCTAGCTTCTGTTTGAAAACCTCCAAAGAAGGAGAGCCCCCCCCCCCAAGGAAGCCTGTTCTACTGAGGAACAGCTCTGTCAGAAAGTTCTTCCTAATGTTTAGCCAAAAACTCTTCTGATGGTTCTGGTCCAACCTTCTGGGGCAACAGAAAACAACTCCGCACCATCCTCTAAATGAATGCTCCCTGTAAGTTGTGGAATCTTGTGAGCAAAAATTCTACTTTGTGAGCTACTGGCATTCAAGTTGTGAGTGAGCGATTTGGCTACTGCATAAATGAGTTTGCTCTGGAACCAACCTTCCTGAGCTAAGAAAAAAATGTGTGAGCCAGAGGCTAAGAAACTGTGAGCAAGCTCACACTAAGCTTAGAGGGAACACTGCCAGCCCTTCAAGTACTAGAAGATGGTTATCATATCACCAAGCTCTTTGAACCTTTCCTCGTAGGACTTGGTCTCCAGACCCCGCACCATCTCCGTTGCCCTCCTCTGGACACGTACCAGCTTGTCTATATCCGTCTTAAATTGTGGTGCTCATAACTGAACCCAATACTCTAGGTGAAGTCTAACCAGAGCAGAGGAAAGCGGACTAAAGATATCTGTTTCAGAAACTTCGATACAATTCATTACTCTGTGACAGACTGCTGGTACGACCCTTGGCCACGTTCTCTGCATCTCCTTTTTTTGCTTCGCCACCCATAAAATAGTTATCTATCTATTAGGGTCACCAACCTCCAGATGGGGCCCGGAGATCTCCTGCTTTTACAAGTGATCTCCAGGCAACAGAGATCAGTTCCCCTTTAGAACATGGCTGCTTTGGCGGGTGGACATTAGGGCATTGTACCATGCTGAGGCCCCTCCCCTCCCCAAGCCCCACTAGCTCCAGGCTCCACCCCTGTCTGTCTGTCTGTCTGTCTGTCTGTCTATCATTCATATATCTAGCTTTATATCTACCCAGGGGTCATTTCCTGCAGGAGCGCACAGTAGCGGAGCTCCGGCAGTAAAGAGCCCAGGGGGCGGGCACATGCAACAAGCCCCACCCCCTGCTCCCAGCAGCCCTCAATCAGAGCAAGAAGCAGCCAGGTAAGTTGCAGAGCCCCCCCCCCGGCCCCCCGGCCCAAAACAGTCCAGTGGCACCTTTAAGACCAAGTTTTATTCAGATACAAGCTCTCCCTCCTCTGTGAGGACAGATCTGCATGTTCTCCCCCCCCCCAATAGCTAGCAATCCAAAACAGTCCAGTGGAGCCTGAGCGGTTGGTGTTGCCTTCTGACACACTTCTGGTGATGTCAGGGGGAGTGGCATATGCAAATGAGTTATGCTAATGAGTTATGCTAATGAGCTCCTGCACCTCTTTTTCTACGAAATGACCCCTGTATCTACCTACCTACCTACCTACCTACCTACCTAGGAAGGATAATTGACTTACAACTTTTTGGGTAGTGAGATGGCTATAGTGATTCCAGGGCAGGATGCTCTCAAAAAAGAGCACGGTTTAGCACATGGGGCCTTGCGCAGAGAAGATATTGGGTTTAAATCCAGTGAAGATTAATGAGTGACCCTGGGCCAGTCCATCTCTCAGCCTCACCTTGCTCACAAGGTTGAGGTGAGGATAAAATAGGATTCCCCATGCATGTTCAGCACCTCAAAGAAAGGGCACGATACAGACGTAATTAATAATAATTAAGCGGGGCTACTGCAATTTCCTCGGGAGAGAAAAGCATTAAGCACAGGCTTCCAGATTGCTGAATCAGGTGCCACCGGGAACCTATTTTTGTGCAATCTGACACACTGTACTTTCCTTGCCAGGAATTATTACCATGTGATGCCTTTGGATCCATTTGGATCTGTTAAAACATCACTCCATTTGTCTGCACCCAGATCCCCCATCTGAGGAGGCCATGTCTCCCCACCACCACCACCACAATGATTTTCTGGCAAAACAGAGTTAATAAGAACCTCCAGTGCAAATATTTAAAGCGTCAGAGCTCGATACTAGTAAGTAAATAAGCTCTTGCATTTCTAAGAACCAGTCACAAAAATAGATTCTTGCACCTCTTACAAAGCAGGTGGCTTGAAACTCAGAGGAGGCTGGGTTTCTGAAAAGAAAAAAGAAAACAGCACAACTTTACAACTTTTGCAGGATCACACTCTTGCGGTTCTGAAATTAACGCTCTAGGTGTTACTCTGCATTTTCTGTCTGGTACATTTCAGTCACTTCTAAATACTCGAGTGAAGGCACTTTCTAAATATGTGCCTTGCCAATTTTTTAGTATTTCCAGTTTCTGCAGGGAGATGTTACTATTCCTGTGTCCCAGTGTCATTCGAGGTGCACCATTTCTTTGGCCTATTAAACTCATTAGAAGCAGAGAGAAATGCATTGCAGGTTTCAGGGCTGTCTCGGAATATAAAGGGGGGCGTTCCATCTCATGAATTGTGTGTTGCAACAACAGACACAAATATCCGTGATGAAAATGGCTAATTAGTGAGAGTCATTGTGATAAAATGCTGGACTGGGGTGGGCGGGGTGGGACCGGGGTTCAAATCCCTACTCAACCTTGAAACGCAGAGTGACCCACTGGCCGTTCTCTATTTCTAAGTCTAACTTATTTCACCGTGATATTGTTGAAGAAAGTGGGGAATGCATATGCTGCCGTGAACTCCTGGGAAGGAGGGGCATGATAGAAATGAAGTAAAAAACTATAAATAGGCTATTCAAAACACATGTTTTTAAAATTCTGGGTGGTTGACTCTCAAACACATAGAAAGTTCTTGGGCTGCTGTTTCACCAAAATCCTAGAGGATGGGTTTGGGCTACTCAGTAAATTCTCAAAGCCTGTTGGATTCTTTGACAAAACTAGGGAAGTAAGAGAGCCAGTCAGCGTCACGTTGAGAGGTTCAGATAAGGATTTGGGAGACCCAAATATCCATTCAACCCGCAGAAGCTCACTGGGTGACCTTGGTTCAGCCATTCTTTCTCGGCCTAGCCTACCTCACAGGGCTGTTGTGAGGATAAAATGGAGGAAAGGAAATCCTTGTGGTCTCCCTTGAATTTCTTGGAGAAAGTCTGATTTTTAAAAAAAAAGTTCTGGAAAAGATGCATGCTGTCAAAAAGCCCACTGGCTCCAAGAGACTACGCTGTTAAATACTTCTTTTGTTATTCTGGAACCCACTGGACTGCATCAGCAAACCAATAGCTTAGCTGCATCTGAAGAAGTGTGTGTGCGCACGGCTTATGCCCAGAATTAAACTTTGTTCGTCTCAAAGGTGCCACTGGACTCAAACTTTGTTCTGCTGCTTCAGACCAGCACAGCAACCCCCACCTGAGTCTAAATGGACGTTGTGAGAGAAATTTACTTCCTACAAGATTGTGTGCACTCAATCATGCATGAACATACAGACACACACACACATACACACAGAGTCCTTCGACAAAGTTTCAAAACTAATATACTGAGATCGAGGTCATAGGGTTCCCAGGATACATACAAAACGCAGGAGATGCCAAAACTGACTTTAAAAACATTAGAAACCAGCCGTTATAATGACATAAAATTCAACACACTATGACCTGAGAAATCATTTTTATGGGAAGAGGCCTGAATCAGGAAGGTATATGTGAAACTTCTAACTCTTTAGCCTGGTAGCCATTTCCCCCTGTTGGATCTTGCCTAATTCTACCCCCGTCACCAACAAACTCTTCTAGAACTTGAACTCTGCACTGGACCACAGAGAGATTATGTGAAGCTCAGCAGGTCCCTCACGGTGCTCAGAAAGGGGATCTTTTCTACATGGTTATCGCCTTTGGGATCTGCCCTCAGAGTGGCACAAAAAACACCAACCATCCACTGACTGTTTCAGGTGGATTACCTAGCATCCACTGGTTGCTGGGATTCTTGCAGAGAATCCCCCGGTTGGGGAGGGGCCATGGCTAGTGATCGAGCATCTGCGTGGCATGCAGAAGGTCCCACATTCAATCCCTGGCATCTCCAGTTGCAAGGATCAAGTAGGAGGCGATGCAAAAGACCCAAGACTTTGGAGAGCCACTGCCAGTCTGAGTAGAAAATAGTGACCTTGATGGACCAAGGGTCTGATTCAGTATAAGGCAGACTGCTATAAGGTGGACTGATTCAGCAAAATCTTCCTCCCATTCTTAAGCATATTAACCATCATCTAAAACCGATTAGTTTCTGCTCCAACTGTTAAGAGATCTGGAGTATGACCTCTGGCTATCAATTCACCAAACAAGTCAGTAGGCCTCATGGATTCCTGGCAGGGGAGACACCTTGATCACAGGGGGAAAAAACAATTAAACTAAAGATGACTTGTCGCCAGCCCAACTCTGTGCTTAGATCACCTCTGAGAATTCTTCCAGTGTCTGGAATCCAGCTCTGCAAATTCTCAGCTTTTATGTCAGAGCTGTAGAAACTGGCATGACCGAATCACTGGGAGAGAGCGCTTTTCTTTCCTTCTGTAGACTTGTCAGTAAGTCCCCAGACAGATCTCTGTGCATGTCTAGTGTTCCGACTGGCTTTCATTAGATCCATCACTTACCTCTCACTGCATGGATCCTACCAAATCCCAAATTCTTCCCGTAAGTCCCAAGGAAGTCGGGATCCATAGGTCTTCCTGAGCTTCCCACAAAACTTTTTCCGTGTTGCCTTTTAGGTAGAGAATCCGCCACTCCATGGCAATAATTGTAGAGATCTTCGGAGGCAAGTAAAAAAAATAAAATCCAAGCTTTCCTCCCCTTTCCCTTGGCAAAAAAAAAAAAATGTTTTTAAAAAGTATTCATATTCTTAAAAAAAAAATCCCAATATTCAAGAGCATCCAAATGCCCAGGAATTGAATGTCAAACTCTCTGCTACCCTGACGGAGCTGTTGGACTCAAGAGGGGTTGGGGAGATGCCCACGGATCCATCTTCCGCAGAGGTCTTCTGAATTCCACTTTGATCCTGGCTGGAGACCCGGGATGCCTTGTGCTGCTCCGGCGTGTGTAGCAGGAAGGCGCTGGCCTCACTGTGGAGTTGTGGTCACTTTCTGGTTCACCCTGCTGCTGCTGCTGCTGCCAGTCGTGCTATTTGATCCAGAGACGATGCTGCAGTTCACAGCGGCTAGAGTGCTTTTCCTAGCTAAGCCTCTTGACAGAGAACGTAACACAGGCAGCCAGTGAGTGAGACACACACAGAGAGAGAGAGAGAGAGAGAGAGAGAGAGAGAGAGAGAGAGAGAGAGAGAAACTCTCTCCTACAAGGCTCCACTCCCTCCTGCTGCTTCCGCACAAGAACAGCAACGCTGAAACCTCTTCTCCG